TGAAATAATCGGGCGCCCAGGGTTTTATGTTTTATTTTTATGAATTTTAGGAAGCAAGTAAAAGCGACCTGAAGAGGAACCTACTGGTTTCATTAATTTGTGTTTGTTAACAGTTATCTTTCCTCTATGTAGGGAATTTTTCAGCATTGACGGTATGATGCGCGTGTGGTGCACTGTCGGGTCTCTGCAAGAAGTTCATAAAATTTTGAATCACTTACCTGGCGATGCCCTTCTTGAATATAGTCGTTCGCACTGATAATCACGATTATCTGCTGGTTTTATAGCTATATCATTCCTAGTGCCTACGGTTTTTAAACAAGTCTTTTGTAGACTTCGTTAAGTTACGACGTGCCCCCTCCCCCCCCCCCCCCCCCCCCCCTTCTCCTTTTCCCGGCCTGTGGTAGTCTTTGTACGGCGGCTATGTATAGGCCTAGGCAGGCACATGGCCGGGGGGGGGGGGGGGGGAAGGCATGGGACCGCCCCCCCCCCCCCAAAAAAAAAAAAGTTCTTTCATTCTGCTGGAACCTCCTCTCCCCCCTCTTCTCATACAACATTTTATCATCGGCGGCCCTCCCACACCCTCTTCCCGAAACGAAATCCTGGCTACGTGCCTGGGCCTAAGCATTTTTCGCGGTAGTGTTCGGCGTCCAATCGTTTGTTCAACGCTGTGCCGGGATTTGTGTGTTTGAAGTTCTATTTAAAACGAACTCCGGCAATATTAAATTTCTCGCGAAATCATCTAGGTTTTGGAGTGTTCGGAATTCGTTAAAGGGGTACTCCACCGTTTTTTTCATTGTCTTCGATTTGCTTGAAATTTTTCTAAACTAACCAACAAACATTGCTAAAATAGTATCCCAAATATTAGGTCAAAATATTGTTTTTTCACGAAGATATTGAATTTACAGTTTTGGTCTTCACCATGTTTTTCAAACTGAAAGTCTCTACTGGCAACAACAACAAAGTGACGTGCGTGGAAGGCAGGGGTTGACTTTTTGAACTACAGAAGTTGTTCCCAACGGATTTGAAGCAGTTTCTTGGTGTCAAATGAGTGCTTTGGAAGCTCGCTCCCGTATCCGCGCTCCAGCACGGAACAAATGATTGGCTTATTCTATTTTTAGACTACTTTCTCGACTGGCAAGCCTGCCTGCCACTGACGTCACGGCACTGAAAAGTGCGCGAATATTTGAATGTTGGTTTTTGCACCGTTTTCATATGCCGATTTCACAATACCTATTATGAATTTCGCGATGCTAAATAGCATACCCGAAAGGCTAAAGGCCGGGGAGTCAGAAAATATAGTTAGTTGAGGTAGCTCGAAAAATCGGTGGAGTACCCCTTTAAAGGAGCCCAAGGTGGGGAAGTTTCGTTTTTTTTAAGAACTTTTTCTTTGCCCGCAGATATTGTAGCTCCGGATAAATTAACAATAGTAGTGCCGCACGGTTCATTGATACTTTCGGTATTAACAGTTACGGTCGCTAGTGGTGGAATATCGGTGCTATAGTTAAATGGCATAGTTCGCTCAGGTATATGGTGTTGGGAATTTCACCTCGTTAAGTTCACTAAGTTTTGTTATTTTGAGGTCGAGTCGTTTCTTTTCTTCAAATTCTGCTAGGGCGGTAGTTTTGTGCGCGAAGAGGTGTTCATTTAAGCGGAGAAGAGTGGCAGTCGTCGCAGTTAGTTGCTTTACCTGTTTCTCACTATGATTAATTGCAATTTGTACCATTTTAAGAGAGGCCTTTAGGAGAACGCGTATCCCTTCCGATTAGTCGCGTTGGTCGAAATTGGTGGTAACGGGGGTGAGGGAAAGTGCAGATGCCCTTCGGAGTACTGCTTGCGTTGACATGCGCTTGCAAGGCTAATTCATGTAGTTGGTGCCTAATGCGTTTATTTGAGATCTTACATACTTTAAGAAAAGTGGTACTGTAGTTTGGAGCCGGAAAGTTGGACTCAACTAACTTGAGCCAATCTTCTTTCGGGTGAGGACTTGGTGCTGCGTGCCTCCACAGGTTATAGCGTTGTCTCGGGTGCTTCTTGGCTGCTGGGGCTGCTGGGGCGACGGGGCGTCATGCTTTCGGCGGGCGTCGGATACTCGTGGACGTCGATGTTCTCGGCACTCTGGCTGGCTGCGGGCTGTGGTGCTCTGGGGCTCACCATTGGACCGACTAGGCTTTCTGTAAGTGTCCTCCTCATGAGAACAGCGTCGCGGGCACCGCCACACTGTGGGTGCCTGGAGGCAACCGGCGGGATCCTCCTGGGGCAGCTGGTGGCGACGGTGGTGGCTGGAATCTCTGATGGCCATCCTGGTGGCGTCAGGTTTCTTCCTCATTGCAGAAAACCTTTCAGGTTCTGCGCGATCAGGGTGACCACCGCGGAGCTTAGGTGAAGTCCATCGCCGGCCAGGAACCGCTGAAACGGGAGCGACGTGAGCTCGTTGTCCAGGAAAGTCACCTTCCCTGGCTTCCGGCAGTAGCCCTTTGACTGTCTCGTTGAAATGGAGGGCTTGGGTGTTGAACCACTGGATGAACCGGTCGTTTGATGTCGCCAAGCACCGATTCCTGTGCCGCGGCAGCACGAGAGACACCACAAGCCTGTGGAGTTCCGAGCGGGCCCAGAGGGTGTTGGTGACCAGGCGTCGGCACCGGAGGAGCGTCTGTTCGGGGCCGAACTTATCTAGCTCACTAGTCCCCACGTGGAAGACGAGCGTCGTGATGGTTGGCCGGAAGGTTGGCCACCTCCCTCTAGCTCGATGTCGAATGTTGACGCCTCGCGGATAATGATAAAGTCAGGGGCTGCTCGGTCATATGGATCAAAGCGTGGACGAAGGTACCTGGACTGGGGTAGATTCTTGGGGTACATCCATGTAAGTTGCCCGATCTTCGTTGCGCCGGGGACCGGTCTTGAAATAATGGGCATGGTGGCGTGGGGGTCGAAGGCGTAGACTAGGCGCCTTTCACGGGTACTCTTCTAATAATTACTATAGTAGCTGGCAGTGTGAGAACATCGGGGGTGTGTCTTTCGAGCGCCCGGCCTCTAGCACCCGCTCCAAGCCTTCCGCCATGCTTTGGCTGCGAACGCGCGCTCGAAATACGTGATACGCCGAAGCATTGTTGTCCAAGGCAGGAAGCCCACGCTGATGACGAGACAACTGAAGCTGCTCCCTGTCGTCCTCACCTTTTCGGGGATTATAGCATGTTTAATGGTACATTACATGACGTTGAAGCGATCCCACTCTGTAGAAAAGTTTTCCAAAAAAATTCAAAGGGGCTTGTGTTGAAACTTGCAACAAGGAAAAATCGATTCTTGGATGTTCCGAGACTGCACAATCTATGGTATCCCCGCTAAGATTTCTCGGAAAGCACTTCCTGTAAAGATATGTTGCGTCTATATGTTACAAAGTTATGTTAAAGAAGTAATGTTATCTAAGTAATATGATACTTTATATTAAGTATCACCAGCAAGCAGATGTTACTGTATTTGAATCACTACTACTTTAGAAAAAAATTGATTGCACATTTGGTCATTCTGCCAGGGCAGGAGGACCCTTCACTTCTTCCACTGCCTAGGGTGGATGGTGCTCTTAGTGCAGTTGGTGCCTATAGGGCAGGATCTTGTGTGGAAACAGATTACGTTACTCCATTGTTTCCTTATGACGCTGCGCTCGCTTGCCTTCAGCACCACCGGGATACAAAGCATTTCCGCTAAATTTTTCTGGTAACCATAAGATGGAAAAAGCGCATCCCTGCCCGTTACACTCTTCGTTCCGCGCGCTCTTTAAACACCAATTGTTTTTGCCCTTCTCTTTCTTGCCCTTTGCACCCCTCTCCACACCGCGCGCTTTCTCACACTACCTGCTCTTGCTCCTCCTGCTCCTGCGTGCTGGGTCCGTAGCTCAGTCAGTAGCGTACTAGGCTTACACGCCGGTGACCGCGGGCTTCAATCGATAACACAAATTGCCAGTTTTTTTTTTCTTTTTAAGAGTATTTAGCGGTTATGGTCTGACTGGCCTACACATTTCGTTCTCTTGCGGCACTTGAACCTGGTTGGACCTTTAAAACTACCGATTTCAAATACTTCAAAAACTACGAGGTAGGAACTCTAACAGAAGGATAGCGTACTTTTTTGGACCCTACAAAGTTGTTGCTTGCAAAATCTTAATGTCCGGCAAATCAAATACCATTTTTCTCATTTTAAGTATGTTTTTACGCTGAAGGCCTACAATGCATTTCAATAAAAAAGTAGGAATTAAGACGTTTAAATCATTATGACAGGGTTAGTTGTTCAACCACTAAACTACCCGTTCAGAAAATGCAGTATTAAGCCGCGACAATTAAATAATCAATAGTATACTTGTTATCAAAGCGATAACTACAAACCTGTAGCTTCGAAAGCGTCCTTGCAACCTCACTGCATCCTAAAACGTTGTTCTCGTGCCCTTAGCTTGCGCTCTGTTCACGCAATAGTAGATCGAAGAACGACTTTCTCGAATTGACGTTTGACTCGGGCGCCGATCGGCAACAAGAACAGCGAAATCTCTGTGACACGTTGTAACGGGAGCATCCTGAAGCGAGCCTGTATGTGTATGTTCGTGTGCACGCATCCACAACCAACCGCCCGCCGCGCCGACCGCTCGATAGAGCGTGGCCACGGCCCACGACTACCGCGCGATCGAAACATCGTCCCGGGGGAGTGGCGCCGCCACCAGATGGCGCCAGCGTCGAAGTCCCTCCATAGAGAACCGATATATGAGAGAGGGGTCAACTAAAACAACGAAAGCGTTTGCAATTTAATGGCGGACGCCTCTTGCGCATGTTAGTTGCTTATGTGCATGCGTGCATTTTAGCGTGGCGGGGATTATAGCCGGAGAAGAGGGATGAGCGAAGCTCTGAGCCGCTCGCGAACGATCGACGCTCCCGCCGCCTTCTCGCAGCTTGTATTGCAAACGCGGCCCAACAAGCCACGTGACCGCAATCGAGTCATTGGAAACATTTTCAAATCTAGGCACACTGGCCCTCCATCTTGCCAGCCATACAGTCGGCGGTGGACACGGAGGACGCGAGCTCTGGCCCCGGCCTGAGGTGATCGTCTTTTGATTTCCTCAATCGTACCGCACCCTTTATTCGAGTTGACCCCTTAGTCCGTAACACTTAATTCCCCAAAACGGCAGGAAAAAGAAATTCTTTCTACAAAGTGGAGTACCACTTTTCTGTATGATTGGTGCAGTGATATACATTAGCTACTCACTCGGTATTTTTCGTTAATTCCCTGTCTATGTTGTGCTAAATAGTACAAATTAACCTCTATTAACCCTTCTTTTACTCACGATCACAAGTTATGTACGGGCTTGAACCTTGAAGCGCGCACACTTAGCCATAACTTGAATAACCCATAACGCGTATGTTCCAACAATAGTTTTAAAGCTATCGTACCCTCATCGGTAGCTTCGACAAAACTTCACGCGACTTTATAGAGACGGGTTCCACTTGCGTCGAAGCTCAGAATGCGTTGAAATGATGTTGAAATAGCACCCCGAAAACGCGTCCACGCACCCTTTTCTCCCTTCCTTCATACATTTTTACATATGCTTTCATTGACGTCGTTCAGAAGGTATTTAAGGTTGAGTATACACAAGGTAAACTCTCTCTCCCTCTCTCTCTCTCTTTGCGGAGTTTCACGCTTGATTTCCGTCCGCGTCGACTCTCTGATAGGGGTTCAGATGGCTAACCAGCCGATGGCCAGCTGTGTATCTATTTCGGCGACCACTGTTTCGATCGAGACAGGCGGCGACGACGGTTGGCCACTCGGATGGGCCCGGGGTTTTCATATATACTACAAAGTTACGCCACTGCTAGTGACGCCGGGTGGTTACGAAAGCGAATTGTCGGTTACGATGCTACGAGGACGTGATTCCCAAATTGACGACATTGTACGAAAGAGTGCGTCAACAGTGGAGGAAATGCGGCGTTTCCTTCCGTGTATTTGTGGCCGATGCAAACGTTGACGGCGTCTGTCAAAGCCAGTCACCGTCTTTTGTAGCATGGTTTCTTTTTTTCCTGGTATTTATATCTGCGAGAGAGCACGAAATCGGGATTTGAAATTGTGGTAGAAGCGCTAAGTAGATTCACTCACCCTCAAACTCACACTCACACTCACACCAGAAAAACGGTCATTCACGTCGCGCTGACTTTCAACTCAAATTGTATTTTCGTCTTCTTTCGTTTTTCTTTTACCCGTCTTAAAATTGTCATCTCACTTCATTCTCTTCTGTACAAAACAATTAGCAATGTCTATCGCACATTACCTTCGAGAATCGAGAAAAAACAATTCTTTTTCCGTTAGCGTTATGGATGGACTGCTAACACAGGTGTCACTTCTTTTTATGATGTGAGCTGCCTCTATTATCTCACGAGTTAACTGATGATGGTTCTTTGCGATTATGGTGCTATTTTCGAAGTCCGCGGCGCACCCACAGTCACGGCAGTGAATGCCCAAAAGTCCTGAGTTAGCTAATCGGGTGTTGTTGTTGTGTTCCCTTAATCTGTCGTTAATACATCTTCCAGTTTGTCCTATGTATTGTTTGCCGCATGATAGGGGAAAGGAATAAATCACTCCTTCTGAGCAAGGTATGTATGGGGTTTTATGCTTTTTAGTGCAGACGGTATTAGTTTTTGGTATGGCGTTAACTTTTTTACAAAGGCCTGATAGTTTGATGGGGGCAGAAAAGACTACGTCGATGTTTGCGCGATTCCCAATCTTCTTCAGGTTATGAGAAATGTTATGAATGTAGGGGATGACTACCGGTCTCTGGTTACTGAATCTTTCGCGTGGCTTGCCGGATGTGATTTGACCTTTTTTAATCTGTTTAAGGAGACTTTCGGCGACTGAAGTTAATATATGTGAAGGATATCCCGCACTTACTATCCTAGATACTTGTCCTGTGAAGCTTGTTAGGCCTGTATGTGGGCAGGACTTGAAAATAGAGTTTTTGAAGCACTGATTAACTATGCCTCTCTTTACCAATTTGGAATGCGCCGAATTATAATTGAGGAGTGGTTTTTTCCCTCTTGGCTCATACGACCAACAGACATGACGGGGCTGAAAGGACAATCTTAGGTCCAGAAATCTCAGGGATCCTAGCTCTGGAAGCTCGTGCGTAATCTCCAAAGGGTTTAAGCCGAGGAAACACAAACTCACCTTGATTTGCAAATGGCCCCTACATTTTATTTTATTTTATTTTTATTTATTTGAACATACTGCCAGCCGCCTGTTGGCAGCCAGGGCAGGGGTGGGCATAGACAGACACAAACAAAAATAGCACGATAACCTAACACACAGCAAGCATACCTAACAAATCATCGGCGATCAAAACAAAAAACAAAGTGTTTAATCATGGTAAAAAATAAATAAACAAAGTGGCATCGATTCACTTGACACAATCAACTCTCGAGCAAACGGTTCCAATTGTGTACACAAAAAAAAAATAACATGCAACAATAATAACCTAATATACCGTCTGCAGTCACCGCGAAAAAAGTTGTTCTATCATTGCTGCAAATGATGACGCTGTGGCTGCATCTGTAACACTTTCAGGCAAACTATTCCAGTCATTGATTGTTCGCGTGAAAAAGCTATTTTTTAGACAGTCAGTTCTACAGAAAGGGACCACAATAGTTTTCGAGTGCTTATTGCGCGTGTGCCTGCTTGAGTTGTAGTCCATGTACTTTTCGAATGACATGCGCGAAGAGTTGTGCACGATAGTATAAAGAAGCTTGAGACGGTTTATTTTGCGACGGGTTTCAAGACGAGGCATTTTTGATATGTCGTATAATTTTGTAATTGAACTTTTTCTTCTGTATTCGTTGTACGCAAATCGTAGTGCTTTCTTCTGAACTCCCTCAATTCGGTCTACGTTGATTTTGGAAGTGGGATCCCATACCACGTCAGCATACTCCAGAACAGGGCGTACGGTGGTGCTGTACGCTGCTAGTTTTGTTTTTGGTGTACAGTGTCTTAGTTTTCTTTTTAAGATCCAGAGTTTCACCATCGCTTTCTGCACAATCCATGCTACATGATTGTTCCAATTGAGTTTTGACGTGAGTATAACACCGAGATACTTGTATTCGTTGACAGTTTCTAAGGGATGGTTGTTGATGGTGTAGCTAAAAGCAAGGGGCGTTTTCTTGCGTGTGACGCACATGTACACATACTTAGAACTGTTAAGCGACATCTGCCAATTCGTGCATTATTGCGTTATACTGTTTAGACAGTTACTGAGCTTTACCTGATTACTTCTCGAATCCACCTCTGAAAACAATTTTATTCTTTTGGAAAAGTGAACTGGACGAGAAGCAACAATACCAAAAACAGTTTTATACGGTAAAACTACCATGGGATTATCAATAATTGTTACATAAAAAAAAGTACGTAGCGCCGAAGGTTTGAGCTCGTTTTGCAATTCGAATTTTATTTGTTTCAGAGCACCTTGGGGCCTCGCTAATGGCGGACCCCCTGGGGGCCCTCTGGGAGTCGGCCGGAAGCTACGCCTACTCGCTACACGTAAGTCTATTGCGTCTCACATCCGATGGCCCACAGGCTAGACTAGAATTGCTCCATCGAATCCATAGCAGTGGTGCAATGCTTACTTACGAACTCACTGAATACTGCTTATGTTTCACGACAATTTACGTTCATACGATAATACAATATACGGCGACAAATGCATAGGCAGCTTTGTTGTATGCCTTTGTATTCAGAGGGGGTAGTATGCCTTCACAGTTTAATCTACATCTCATCACTTTAATAAGACGATAAGTCATTTATGGACGAGGCCTTTTTAATGCTCATCACATTGTGGCGATGTTGCACAATTGGGCGTCAAAACGACGGCCGTTCATGTCTAAATCAAGACGAGGTAAAAATGAACTTACAATTTTATGAGCAATGTGCATTCCGCGGGAAGTTCACTGTAGCAATGAGCGAATTTAAACTTGGGAGTATAACGTACATGACGCAGAAAGGTAGCTGCGGCAATGCAAATATAATAACTTAAATACCTCAATTAGTATAATACTAAAGCTCCACATCATTCATATTTTGTCTAGCAATAAAAGAAAAGGAAGGCGCAGCTGTGACTTATGCATCCGGCGTACCTGTACAATCACTAATGCAAATGAACGCTACATGTCGACGCGCATAGAGGTACCGAGCCACACCCATGAGCATCCGAGGCATCCTCTCCGCCCAACTCGGAAGGAAACATAACCTCCGTTTCCAAAGAAATGAACTAAGACCAATACAATTAAGAAAAATTGACTCCGGTGGATTTGTTCTTTCTTTTTACGACTGCTGACCGAGCACATTCACAAATATTTACAACAATGCAATTCTTTGTGTCTGAACTCGGTTTTTAAAATGTGGCATCTGCTTTTTTATTAAGTCTGCGAAAAAACTTGTTTCTATGGACGAAGCTACAAGTTTTACGCTAATAATTCTAGTCACGGTAAAAAAAAAAAAAAACATATGTCGACAATGAGTTTTTTTGCATGCTTCTAGTGTTGAACCGGTAAACAGGCTTACACAATATTTGTCTTGCACAAAAGCAACTATATTTCGACCGATTGGTGCTCAATATTGCTAGAAAGAGGCGGGTTTGAAATTCAATTTCCGCAATACAAGTGATGTTCAGGAACAATTTACCATGTAAAAATGAATCGAATCCATTATTCAAGTGATGAACTATAGAAGACGCGGATGCAATAGACCTTATTCAGATTCGCCCGCCATCTGTCGGACGTGGCACCAACCATTCTTCTGACGCCATCTTTGAGGCGACTGGCAAGGTGCTGTGGCCGTTTGTTGCGTGTGAAAGCGACGCTCAGTGTCCGCACGAGCTTTGTTGTTCCGCTGCGTTATTCAACAAGGAAATAAAATGAAGAACAACCGAGGTAAAGATTCAGATTGTATCGTTTTCTTTTCAAGTTAAAGGTATTATAGCCGACGTTTAAATAGCCGTAGCGTTTTCCTGTACAATTCATGCTCCCAAGAAGAGCACCCACGCGTTAGTGGTGTGTGCTTTTACACGGCTCGTAAACCTTTCTTAACGTATGACACGTTCTGCAACGGCATGAAGGGCTCATGGTAATTGTATGTAACATCAGCGGGCATCTATTATTTTATGTGACTTTTTGGGAGCTTGGATGTTGGCTAGCATCATAGCTTCGCTGGCGCAGAGCAACGGCGAGGTCCAGTAAACATCACCCAGTCAAGAAAGGTAAAATAACGCAGGCGAGCTGGTAAATGACATCCATAGTAACCCTGAAACGTAGGAATAATAAAAAAAACTACACTGAAGATCTGCACTAGCCTGCTCACACAAGCGTATGCGAGGCACACAAGCGTAAAAGGATATGACCGGCGTGTTGCCGCGGTGCAAGTACGCAAAATATAACGTATTAAAAAAAAAAAAACTTTTTTACAGAAAGCCGGAACATTTTCCTTTTATAATGATAATAATAATACAAAAAACTGAATTAAATAGTGGGAATTATGTTTGAACTCACCGCGATATACGAATCATGGTAGTATGTAAAGATTAGATTGAAAAAAAATTAAGAATCTAAAAACGGCAGTTGAACCATGCACTTTCCTAGGGATTGTCGTTTGAAGCAAAGAATATTTACATTTCATTGTGCTCTTATGCAACCAAAAAAAAAAAAAAGTACCGAGAATGTATTTCCAACTATCACTGGCTGACAACAAAAGCGCAACGGCTAACTTTCGCGTCACCAATGGCTGCAGGGTCTTCTGCAACGTCAGGGTGTTAGGCCAACATGGACATCAGTTACCGTGCAAATTTAAGTAAGTAAACAGTGTAGCGTAACTTGACGGACTCCCGTAAGTTCGCTTATGTAAGACAAAATGCCTTTATGCTCGCAAAAAAGCAAAAAAAAAAAAACAAGAATAAAACAGCACACTTTTACTTTTCACCGCACTCACCATAAACGGTACACATTAGTATTCTTGTTTGCAGACGCTAATTATGGGAAAATGATACATCGATAAGCCTACGACATCTTCGTATTCTGCGCCTGATATGTTGTTTTTTTGTTGTTTTTTTTTCTGAAAACGACGGTCTTGTATTAGTGACACGTAGAGATGTTATTGATAAATCATTTCTTTTCGTGTAGGAGGAAATCAGGATAATGTAACAGAGGGTGTCCATAAAAACATTTACAGTATTTTTCTTTTCATGCAAAATTAAATTACCCATTGCCGAATCCTCAATATATGCCAAAATGTAGGGCTAGCGGTACGAACTAGATGCCAATGTTTCGAAGCTTGCCATGATATGATTAGCTACATACAATTATCGTAAATTTCCAATGAGAAATTTTGCGACCGACGAAACACCCGAATACCTAGAAATGAAGGCGCCAGATATACCGAAGAACGGGCCCCCGTCTTCCGACTGAAAGTTTCAGAAAATAACATAACTGTTCAATAAGCTGACAGTTAGTTTTGAAACCTTGCGTCCGGCCCTGCAGGAGTGGTATACGGAGCGGCGTTCCAAGAAACACGCTCCTGGAACACGTCTTTGGAACGGAGGAACGCAGCGTTCCATCTTGCATTGGGGGAACTGGAACAAGATTTTGTTAAATGTTTCGAGGGAACAGCAAGAGGAAAGACGTTTGCTCTTTTTTGTCTGTACATTTGTATTTTAATCCGAATGTACAACGCATTTAGGCTTTTTATTGACGTCTATTTTAACCTACAACTTCAAGGGTTTAGGAAGTGTCCAAGAGATAGTCGAGAACAAAGAACTAAAACAAATGTGATCGTGGCGACACCAGGCGTTCTTCAATGTGGAAATTTTCACTTTCTCGCTTTATAGTATTCGCCGGGTATCCAGCCGAATATCTCATTAAAAGACTGCCTACGTGTAGGAATGCGAAAGCATTCTTGCACGCAGCGCATTCGTACAAGCAGCGCGCCACGTCTCCCTATCGCACACGGCGCTGCGGCGGTGACACCACGCTCCCCCACTGCGCAGGCGCGGTTAACCCTGCCGGGTTCACGACGGCTTCCGTGACGAAGCATTGCGTTGTTGTGCTTTTCTTTGTGTTTTATTTCTGAAGCGCGCCCGCTTTGACCTTGGGCCCACCCGCTGGCTTCCGTGGCGAGGCATCTGCGTTGTTGTGTTTTTCTTTGTCTTCTATTGGGAATGGGCCAATGGGAAATTGGGTGCTGCTTCGCTCAGCCAATGGAAATTTAAATCCCGTTTTTCGCCAGTTTCACTTCATGGAACATTTAATGCTTTCGCCTTAAAATACGCAAACGTAACGTTACGGTTAACGCCACGTTTCAACCTTAGAAACGTAACGGGAAGGTGTTCCTTCCGAACCACCGGAACTTATTACGGGAACTCGTTCCAAGATCGAGAAGGAACGAGAAGTCCATCTGCTTTTTTTTTTGCAGAGGTTGCGGTAAAGTCAGAGCGCCAAGGTCTGATTCGCTTCGGTTGAAGAGCAATGGGTAGAACTAAAAGAAACCTGCCTTCAGGTCTACCCACTAGGCTCCAGTCGGAGCCAATCAAAGCTCGGTGTTCTGACGTCACCATAACCCCTGCAAAAAAAGCAGACGAACTTTGCGCTCGGCATAGTCAGAGAACAGTCTAGGAATTTGAAAGGCATGACATTATCTTCAGGATTCTTGGTTCCTGACTGGTTTTTCGGCGTTCTTATTGTCGAATGCCGCAACCTCATTGGCTGCCTAGCGATAATGAGATGCTCGGGCCTGGCCACGCCCTTCGTTTCTTAAGTTGTCGGTGACTAATCCCGTTAACATGAAGAAAAAAGAAAGAAAAAAATTTGGCAGCGACCTTTATTTTTAAAGTCCAATAAATGCATGAAATGCAGTATTTTAGGAGCGAGTGTTTAAATTTTTTGGTCGACAGTAGAAATGCATCCCAAATTGCCCTGCAACTGTGCTGCTACCTAAAACGTTCTTGCTTAAGCGCTATAGACGCTTTCTATTTCCTGTCATTCTTAGTCACGTGGGTTATTTATCTTGTATGCGGGACGAAAAAAAATAATAAAACATTGAAACCTGGAATATGCGAAAAAATATAGGGGAAGCAGAAAACAATGTGAGACAATCACGCATTTTTCGTAAACACCTTCCAGCGGCGTGGAGAGATCAAAACGATGTTCTACCGCATGCCAGAAGTAAAGACATTCAAGATGGCTGCCCCCTTGTGGTAAAGGTGTACAGCAACCTCCAGGAATTTCCTCTCGAGCTGCGCCTCCAGGTCCCTCCACTCCTCTTCACCCCATTCACTCATTGACCCATTGACTTCCTCCGTCGGGTCCGCCTGTGTCTAGAGAGTATAGGCTTCTTGCACCTGACGTAACTTCTTATTAGCGTCGAAATCGAAACCAACATGGTCGCCTGCCATCGGTCTTTTGGCGCCACACTGGAGGCATTCGGCGTCTTATTGTGGCAGCAGAGTGCCGTAGTGCCCTGGAGTTTGCCTCGCTCGCGTTTGATTATAGAGCAAA